GGGTTTTACATCCAACATCTGTTTAAGTTCAAAGGCTTTTAATCAAATTTTCTAAAACAGTGAAAAGAGGTAAAAAACCCGTCTCATGTAGCACTCAAAGCAGGTCAAACACAACCTCCAAACACTGCTGGACTCGATTGTCTCAGGCTCATCAACACATTTTGTGGTTTTGAGTCCATCATTAAACAACTCAGGGAACTCAGGATGAATTGGTACAGACATTTGTGTACACAAAGAACATGTCTTGTGTTTAAAGCCAGTTCAAAGCCTTACATTCCCACAGCAGTTAACACGTTAACTGAAGGATTTAAAAAAACTTCTTCCTCTCTAATCGCTCATTCTCTGACTTGTACGTGACGTGGATTCATCACCTGGTGTGTGATCTAAACTGTGAGAATGAGACTTTCAATGCATCTTACATCTGATCTACACTGCCATCTTGTGAATGAAAGTAAAATAACTACAACCTGAGAGTCACCCTGGTGCATGATGGTACACAGCTGTCCTCACAGAAGCCAATGTGAGAAATCACAGCCTCTGTGAACCATTTGTAGTGTTTTATTTACGACTTTGTGGCGTTTCTCGTCTGTCGTGTCTCGGCTTGTTAGTTAGGTACCTCTTTTCGTAGTTGATTCTTTTTTGGTCGGATTGTGCATCGGTCTGTCATTTTACAAATGTGTGGTAGTTGTTCATCACTTGCAGATGAGGATGTGATCAGAGTCATGGTGCTTGTGTTTGTGTTGACTGACAGATGTGAGTCCTGCAGCGTTGAAGTCACAGGACTATAAACCTTCTCAGTTCCCTGGAGGATCATCTGACGATGCAAAGCCTCCTCTCTAAGGAAATGATTTCACTGCTGTCCAAAGAGTGAGGGCAACGTGGGACACCAAGCCAAGGAATACTGCTCGCTTCAACACGATGGTCTTAATAGAATAGAAGAAACAGTTATATCAGAAGATGAAGATTTAAGGACATTTGTGTTCACTTTGGTTGGTATCATGTGTGTGTTTGTCTGCCTTTCATTTTCTGACAGAGTTAACTGTGAATGAATAGCATATTGAAATTCGGCTCAATTCTAAGTTAATGTTATTAATTATTAATAATTTAACGAATTATCACATGATATAAAACTGCGAAAAAAATACTTTTTTACCAAGAGATCATAATCGTTTCTTTATCCCGCTCTGAAATGAAAATATAAAATAATTTAATTTAATTAAAATGATTATTTAAGTCTATATCAGCAGAGAAACGTTTTATTTTTAAGAAAGCATACGTTGTTTCAAACAGTATTGAGTTTTTCAGCGGATAGATGCTTGTTGGCGGAGCAGGAGGTTTTTGTACAGCCACTCAATGGGTTTGTGTCACTGTGGCTCACGTTTGGTGGAGGAACAAAACTCTTCATTGACTGTAAGTACCACTGATTCTTATTTTATTACAAATACAGAAAATGTAACTTGAAACTCTGATTAGTATCAGTGTTTGTAGATTGTTCATTATATTTGACTTATTTCATCAATCTGAACTTACAAACTGAGAACGATTCAGACATCTAAAGTGAATCAGTCTTGTGTGTCATTTTATTTTAAAGAGGATAAATAACTATATTTCTGTACATTATTTTCTCTTTCTCATAAAACCTTTTTCTCTGACTGTTTTAAAAAAGTCAAGTTTGGTCAAACAAGACTTTTCGTTCTAAAAATATTTAAATATTATTGGAAAATATTAAATGTTTTCATGATTTAAAATGAGGTGTGGATTTCTTTTCACAAAGATATGATTTTATCAGTAAATGCAGCTTTTCTTTGAGTTCACGGTTCATTGATTTACATTTAGTGAAAAGGAAGTGAAAGAGACAGATGACAAAGGTTTTAGTTGTATGTTTTGAAACTGTCAGTTTTAGACAGAGACGCTTTACAATGTAAATCTAAGTAAGAGAAACGTACAGATACACACAGATAAAAAAAAAATAGTACTGGAGAATGAGTCATGTAGGAGCATTTGAAAGTGAATTTGAAGAGGTGGGTTTGGTTTGAATGAGGATATGGTGGGAGCCCGGTGGATTTGGATGGGCAGGGCGTTCCAGAGGGGAGGTGCAGCAGCACAGAAGGCCCTGTCGCCCCAGGTAAAGGTGCTTCGTCCGGCGGGTGGATGCGAGCAGTCGAGCTGCAGAGTTCCGGACATATTGGAGTTTGTTGAGGATTTTGTTGGGAGAGTCGTAGAAGATGCCGTTGCAGTAGTCAAGTCTGGAGGTTATGAGGGCATGGATGAGAATTTGGGTGGTGGCAGAGGAGAGGGAGGGTTTGAGCTGTGCAATGTTCCTGAGGTGGAAGAAGGCAGTCTTGGTGATTGGCAAGAAAGGGTGGGGTCGAGGATGATACCGAGGTTGCGGAGCAGGCTGGACGGTGGGACGATGGACCCATCAATGTTGAGAGAGAAGGTCGATAATGAGTATTTCAGATTTATTGCAGTTGAGTTTGAGAAACTTCTGTTGCATCCATGATTTTATATCAGTATATCAACTCTGGAGAGCTGAGAAACAGATATCTGTAGCTATCAAATCTACCAAAAATTTAAATGATTGTCATTGATCATTAATACACTTGAATCATGTTGCCGGTGGTCTGATACAGAGTGATTTAAGACTGCAACTGGAACGTAACCTACTCTGTTTTATTAAATTAAATATAAGAAATCAACAGGAAGTTATTTTTTGTTTATTTTAAAATGTATTTTCTATCACCCCCCTCTCTCTCTTCCAGTGGGTGTGGTGCGGCCCACCCTGACCGTCCTCCCCCCCTCCGCAGAGGAGCTGCAGCAGGGCGCAGCCACACTGGTGTGTCTGGCCAGCGGCGGCTTCCCCTCAGCCTGGAGTCTGAGCTGGAAGCTGGGGGGCAGCAGCTCCTCCTCAGGGGTGTCACACAGCCAGGAGTTCCTGGGGAGGGACGGCCGCTACAGCTGGAGCAGCACCCTGAGCCTCACTGCAGACCAGTGGAGGAAGGCGGGCTCAGTGAGCTGTGAGGCGGGTCTGGATGGACAGAGCCCTGTCACTCAAACCCTGGACCCTGACCGCTGCTCAGAGTAGAGCTTCAGCAACACGTCCTGTGTGGAAATGATGCAGCTTCTTTGGTGGATTTCATAGCTACAGATCTCCTCTGTTTCTCAGCTCTCAGAGTCTGTTACTTTCTGATATTCTTCTTTTTGTTCATTACTTTAGAAATTAAACTGAATTAAAGATTGTTTTTCCATCCATCATCATTCGTTGATTCATCAAAAATGTGACGTTTTGATAAAACTATGAATAAAAAAAGTGGATTATAATGATTCAGTGTCTGTGTATCCATTTTAACACAGTTTGATATATTCTAAGGAAATAAATATATATTTTGTTTCTGTTTGGAATGTTTTGCAAGCAGCCATCATTAGAACTACAATTGAGAAGATTTTTTTTATATATACATTAGAAGTTATGGTCCAACAAGAAACTAACCTCCCCTAATAATTCATAGAGAAACTGACTGAACTGCCAAGAATAATCATTTCATTTTAGTTCATATATAAGTGTGTCTGTGAGTGTGCTTCTGTTTTATTTAGATTCATTGTGGTTCTGCTTGATGACTCTCGTGTTGTGTTCACTGGACCATGTTTTCCTCACCACAGTCTCTCCACCAACCCTCTGCACCTGCAGCAGGCCGATTTCACTGCTATCAAAGTGAAGGAGGTTTTTGTACGGCTCTAAATCACTGTGTGAACACTCCACCTGTATGTACACCAAGACAGTAGTAATCGCCAACATCTTCAGCCTCCACACCGCTGATGGTTAAAGTGTAGTCAGAACCAGAACGACTGCCACTGAATCGAGGAGGAGTTCCAGAGAAGAGGGTTGATGAGTCGTAAATGAGAAGTTTTGGAGCCTGTCCAGGTTTCTGAAGGTACCAACTGAGATCAGCACCGATATCTGAACTCCCCTTGGCGCTGATGGTCACAGTCCCTCTGAGACCGACGGCCTTGGAAGGGTCTGTCTGAGTCAGGAATTTGTTTGCAGAAGTGTCTGAAATAAGAAATGAAATATAAACATTGATAAGAAATTACACATGTCTCACAATAAAGAGCAGCGGTTTAAATTATAATATTAACAAGACAAAAACATCTGTCAGATAGTTTTCAAAATCTCTCACCGTGGCACAGAACAGCCAACAAGAGGATTATTGACCACATCATCCTGGTGCAGTTTTCAGTGTGCGTTCATGAAAACTGTTACGACTTTCTGTGTCAGGAGAACTTAAAACAGTGAGGAGCAGTGAGGCATTGAAATAATGCAAAATGAGATTTCAAAGGCAAACACACAGCTGCCCTTGTGAAACTGAAAAGGCCGAGATGAGGCGGAGTAACAGTTCATCCTCGAGCGTGGAGTCAAAACCTCTCTGTGTCGATTCCCTTGTTTGCTAACGCTCTTTCCATTTTAACTATTTTTAAATTCTTTAACACGTGAAGCCTCCCTTTCCTGGTTATCCAACTGCATGGACACCAAAACAGAAGTCATTTCCAACTTAGTGGCAGTATACATGATTGAACATCTGTAAAGGGGACAAAACCTGAATGTCAGAGACATGAACATCTAAGTTTCACTCTGCATTTGACTGGAGGTGGATTTCAGTGAGTGTTGTACGGTTGTGCTTTGGGTGACTGTGCTGATCTTCAGGTGAGCAGTGGTGCACATCAGAGTCTCCTGCAACAGGGCGAAGCTTCACCAAAGCAACATGTGTGCAGTCTCATCTGAGAGTCTTTTTTGTTTGACTCTGGATCCCCGTGTGCACATCACCACATACTCTATTATAGAGTATCTACTGCACTCTCAGCTTGGACTCCACTGATCAGAGGTTCTGTTTCTGATCCGACTAAAGCAGCAGTTTGGGAGGCTGTTCTGGTTCCTGCAGGTACTGAGATCATCATCAACTCTCCTTCACCAGCAGACTTTGATACAGGAGAGTTACAGATCCTACAAGAGAATAACAATGTGCACTCTGTAATATATTAGACCTTTGCTGTACACCACCCTCTTTGGTCAAAACGGGAGACGGAAAATAAATATGAATTGTTCATATTGCAGATGGATAATAAGATTATCAACTTGTGACCAACAAAACAAAAGCCTATTCTCCTTTTTCAGGAATAGTTTCCTCAGACTTTTCGTAGTGTCTCATCATTGTTGTTAAGTTTCTCTTTGTAGTCGATCCTTTTTTCTGCATCGGTCTCCCGATTTACAAATGTGTGGTGGTTGTTTGTCGCTTGTTCTCAGTTTGTTCTTAATGTATTTTATTGTCATTGTAGCCGTCTGACTTTCTGCCCGCTGGGATCCCTAAAAGGCCCATTCAATGATCCAGACACAAGCCTTAAGTGCTCCTTTAATAATAATTTACATACTGTGTGGATGATATTCA